AATTTATTTTGTAACTTTTCTTTCAATTATTTGTTCCTTTATTAATATTAAAAAAGAAAAAAAAATATTCATAACGTTCACATAGTTAAAGAAAAGATTATAAATGAATAAGAAAAAAATAAAATATAACAATTATGCAATTACTGTATACAAGTATGAAATGTGAATATGCAGTACATGAGAATGTGGTGTAATGAATCTTGCGTGGTTGAGTTCGTGCTGTAACTTTGTAAATTAAGTATTTTTAGCTCCACGTCCACGTCTACGACGACGCGTATTCGAACTTACCAAATCTAAGGAAAAATAATAATAATAATAATAATAATAATATATTAACATTTTGAATTATTATTATTATTTATTTTATTTTATTTTTTTTTTTTTTTAAAAAAAAAAAAATAATAAATAAATAAATGAATAAATAAATAAAAATTTTTACCCTTCGGTTTTTCATCATTTTTTTTTCTTAAAGAAAATTTAGCACGTTTAGTATTGCTTGCTTTAATTGAACTTGCATTAGAACTTTCACTAGTGGTCACAACGATCTCTTCTTCACTTTCATTAGTTTCATTAATTTGTCTTTTAACAAATTTTCTCGTCTCAATTTCTTCTTCCTTTTCTTCATTTTTTTCTTCAATGTCCGATAACATTTCATTATAATGTTTAATATAGTAAACCAATTTAGAATTAACATTTCCTCCTACTTCTTCTTTATCAAAAGAACCATTATCTTCTAGTAAGTTTTCGATGCAAGTTTTTAATTCATCACAAACATTCATTACTAAATTAATATTAGATACATCAAAATTTAATATCGGATCATTTTCGTCAATTTCTTTTTGATCTTTTGGCCAATCCTTAAATAATATATCAAGATTTCTTGTTAATTCTATATCTTTTATATTATTTCTTGGTGTATGATGTAATACTTCTATCATGTTTTCTATCAATAATGTAATTGACGCATATCCATTCTCCGTATTATTAAAATGTTGTTTAATTGATGGTAACTCGTTATAATTTTTTAAACGTTGAAAAAATGTTTTAATTTCTTTACAGGGTATTGATTCAATATTATTCTCTCTTTCATATTGAGTCATTATATATTTTAAATAACGAGATTGTTTAAATAAAGTGTATAATGGATTTTTCTGATCCTTTATTTCATATTCTAACCACAACCTTCTATTATAATATTTTTCATAAGGATTGGTTGCTTGTTGTTTCATGAGGATAAAATAAAGGAGAAAGTTTGTCAAAGTTCGAAAATA